GCAGGACGTTGAGCGCGTGCGGAACGCCCCGCGGTGTGGCCCGGCATCCTCCCGCTTCCCTGTCTTTGGTGCTGGCAATTGTCACTCCGTGCCGCTGCTCTGTGACCGCATGTAATATTTGCAGAACTTTTGGATCTCGGGGCTTGAGCGCAAGGCCAATCAGGAGACAGAGGCTGAGGTGAAGGCGAGGTCGAGGTCATGATTGCATTGTCGTAAGGAGAGTTGGAGACCTGCGCAAACGAATATCGCCTGGGGCGATCCTGGGCCCATCTGGGGACCCCCGCGAGACCGTGGTTCAAGCTGGGGAAGAACTTTCTGGACGTCGGGGAGCTGTCATTGGGGTGCGCGGATGTGATGAGACCTGCCGGTCCTGACCCGGGGGCTCGCATTGTTCCTGTCTGGGGGATTTCAGAAAGGCAGTGGGCCATGGACTTTGGATCTTGAGAAGATGGTTCGGCGGCGGACTGGTTCCATGCCTGGCCCAGATGGCATCGTTTACTCGTGTTGGATGTCTGCCCCCTCTTGCCATTCTCGATGACTTGCGCTGTCGCCCCATGGCGACCCGTGGGCGTGGGATGCCGCATTCGACGCGAGAGATGTTACTGGTCTTGATTGCGAGGGGCGACCGTAAATCCGACGCCGCCTCCGCTCCATCGCGTTCTTCTGGTGCCTGCCGCCCACTTGCAATGTCTGGCGCAGATAATGAGATCGGCTCTCTTATTTTTTCGTGGGGGCTAGAATGGGCTAGAATGGGTAGCTCGGGGGGCGGTTGCCACGGCGCAGGCGCGTCGGAGCGGGCGGTCTATGACTGATCAGATTCTCGAAGCAGAGGCACGAGGGCTTCAACAGTGTATGCTGGGGAGAGATTGGGCGGGCATGCTGCTGGTTGTTTTTGCGCCTGCGTTCCCGAGCACTGCCGTCTCCTGTCTGTTGCCGGTCCTGGTCTTGGTGCAGATCCATGCTTGGGTCATTGGTGTCTTCGAGGTGCTCTTCGGAAAACTCGGGCATCTGTTGCTTCGGTGGTAAGCGGCGTTAGAGTATTCGGCTGTGGCGCTGTGTTTGGAAGGGGGGCCGCCCGTCGTGCTCCTGTTTGCTTGCCTCGTATTATTTTGGGGTGCGCGGGTGATCTGGTTCGGGCTTCGCAGCGTGGTGGTGGGCCCCTTTCTCCTGCCCCTCCTCATCAGCAGCCTGACGACGGCACCGGTCTTAGTCTGAACTGCGGGAAGTGTGTGCCGATGACCTGTGGGTCGGAATTACCACCGCGGACGTGTCGGCACATTCGGGGGATGCTGGCGTCGCTCAGTCCTGGGGCCTCCTCGATTACAGTGGTTCGGCATGCGCGGCGCCCTGGGATTCAGAGATCGGAGTTGGCGGTTGGATGCTCGCCCGGGGCGCTCCCCTGAATGCGTCCCGCCAACGTCGTATCGGTATTCGTAGGGTGCAAGAGTTGTTGTGGCATGCGAATGGGCTATGCTGCAGAAATTGTTAGCTGGGTCTTGTTTCTTCTTCGATCGCATCATGTGCGCTCGCCTGCGGGACCTCGGGCTCAGCTTGAAACTCCCAGACCAGGCAAGTATCGACATTGCGGTCCAGGGTCGTCTTGCACGCGCACTTGCAGCCTGTGGCAACATTCGGATGCTCTTGTCATACCTACTGGTGCAGGGTGACATTCGCCCGGCTCAGATGATGCATCCTTGCTGTGAGAGTTATTTGGTGCGTTCCATGGTGGCGACTTGGGGGCGTAGCGTCGGCTGCTGTGAGTCGTTTCTTCAGGCATCTGGATTTGAAAAGTCACTCGCGAATGGGATTCGGGCCAGGCCCTTGCCCATCCTTCCTGTCAGGTGCTTGCAGATGGGAGTCGTGCGGTGGGGCCCAGGGGTTACTGTTCCCCGGGTGTTTTGGCGTTGCTCAGATTTCCAGTAAGTTTGCGAAGGACAGCTCGTACTATCTTGGGCTAGCCGTCCTACGTGTGATGCCTCGTGGGGTCCGCGCCGGTGCCCGATTGCGAAGGCCTTGCGGCCGATGCCGCTGACCCTGAAGGGGGTCGATGAACGACGACGACGGCGACGGCGACGACGATCGCGAGTCCTTGTTGGGGCCTTCCCGGGCCCTCTTGGGCTGTCCTGGGGGGCCTTCTTGGGCCGTCTTGGGGCCTTCCCGGCCATCCTGGCGTGTAGTTGGGCCGTTCTGGGGAGCTCTCGGAGGCAACTGGGGCCGACGTGGAGTGTGTGAAGCTTGGAAGTCGAGCAGGCGAAACAAAAACATGGGCGATTTCGGGACCTCCTGGTAGCCTCTTGGAGTGGGGAGCTTGAAATGTGGGTTGGTTTTCCCCCTCTTCGACCTCTCTTGGGGCTCTCTTGGGCGTTCTCGGTTGGAGAAGGGGGGGGGTCACGATTCGCAGGACGCTTCCAGGGACCCCGCGGGATTTTCTCCTCCCTCTCACCCTCCCCCGGGACTTCCCCTCTCTCGTGGGGAAGGGATTACAGGAGCGGGGTCCGTTTCGAGTCGATTACGCTGTTGTTCGATTCTCCTCTGGCTGGAGCGTTTGAGGAGGTGGGCCGAGGGAAGAGGGGGGGTGGTTCTGGGAGGCTCACGCAGGTTTCAGGGTGGTGCGGGGGGAAAACACGACGAAGAGCGAGGGGGAAACAGAGAAGGAGGAGGATGAGGAGGAGGAGGCAGAGGAGGAAGAGGAGGAGGATCGAGTTCTTTTGGGGGGCTCTCTGGAAGTCTCCGAGGATTTCTGGGGACGTCCTGGAGGCGTCTTGGGCCGTCTTGGGGCCCTCTTGGGCCATTAGGGGACGCTTTTGGGCGCCTCTTGGGGTGTCTCGGGGCGATATCGGGGGCCTCCTGGGCCGTGTTGGCGCGTTGGCAAACGTCAGAGGCAAGAGCGCTATAATCCTGCAGCAACGTATGGAAAATCTACGATTTTTGCCTCTTGAGGCCCTCGTGGGAAAGCTCCTGGATGCCTCTTGGGGCGTCTTGCAGGCCTCTTGGGCCGTCTGGAAAGCGTGAAGGCGTCTTGGACAGATCGTCAGGCGAGTCGGGGTTCTCGTGGACTGTCTGTGGGGCATATTAGACCACATTTGGTCCTTTCTGGAACTCTTTTGAGCTCCGGGAATCCCCGGGAGAGCGTCGTATCTGACCCCCCGCCCCCCCCCGGGACCCGTCCCCCAGGACCCCCCTCCCTACCCCCCCTCGGCGGGGGAGGGATCGAAGGGAAGGGACTTCCCTTCGACTCCATTACGGCGTTCCTCAACACCTGGGAAAGGAGGGGAAGAGGACGACAGCCACGACGACAAACGAATAACGGAGGCGGTCCCTGGGAAAGGGAGGGAAGAGGACGACAGAGACGACGACAAACGAATGACGGAGATGACGGCTCGAATGGACGAAGCCCCTCACACACGCCGACAGGGTCGGCGGATTTCATCGTTGCCTTTTTCAATGGTGTTGGAACTTTGGGAATGACGGTTCAATGGGTTCGATGGGGCATGATGCGGCGTATCCAAAATTTCGACGGTTGAGCGTAGATCTTGCCCCATGTCTCCTCCCGTTTTGCAGCGAAGAGTCATGGTTCCAGTGTTTCGTGGTTGTTTCTCTCCCCGGTCAAAGTGCCGCGCGCGCTGGTCGCCAGTCTCCTGGGCGCGTTCCTGTTGTTTCCGCGGTTGCCGCCGCGAGGGCCCGGCTACCTCCCTGGAAGACTCTGTTGAAGCACGCGTGCCGCTCCACTGTCGGGGGCGCGCGAAAATCCAGGCTGCCTGGCTCGAGGCCCGCGGCTTACTGCCGACTTCTAGGGCTTTGTTGCCCTGGCTCGTTGCTGCCCCCGAGCGCCGACGGAGGGGCGGCGGTCGCGCTCTCTTTCTCGGCGGCCAAGGGGGGCGGGGGCGGGGGCTGCGAGCGCCCTGGGCTGGCATGGCATGGCGGCCGTGGCGCTCTTGCCCCGTCTAGTGTGCGTTCGTAATTGCCGTGGCTGTCGATCTCTGCGATCCAGTGATGTTTGCTGGCTGTTGCTCGACCGGAAGCTCGCGTGTTCTGCGACGATCGCCGCCCTGGCTTGTGGGATGATGCCTGCGCGCGGCAGGTTTCCGCGATTTTCCTCCCCGTCCCCTCCTCTGATTCTGCG